CAAGTAGAGGTTCTAAGAGTGGCACAAATCAAGTTACAGAGGGAAGGTAGTTCTTAAAATAAAAGGCTTATTGACTAGCACTTTGTCTATCATAGTATAAAGGTTAAGAACCACAAGATGTAGAGGCTTAACTATGTCATTTATTGTTCTTAGGTCCTGCACCAAAGTCCATCTACCACTGGGTTGTTTTACAGCTCGGAAGTCTGCATGCAAGGCAGAGGTGAAGTTAAAGAACTGCTTATGAGGTTTCTATCAATTCCAACAACTAAGAAATAGTGAGAAGAGCTGGGACCTCAGAAAGCTTTTAGGACCATATAGTAGTTTCTTGTGTCCAGGAGTAAATGAATGTACTTACCAGTAATGTTAATGCTCATCCACAGCTCTTCTGGGAGGATTTAAATTGTTTAAACGTCCTCCTTTCTTTCCAGCTGAGAGCTGGGGCCTGTCAGTCCTGTCAGCCATGAGGACCTGTTGTGGCCCGCTCTTGGCCATGCGTCCTTCAAATCCACACTAAAAGCGTGAGTGGGAGCTTCCTCTCTACTCCCTTGCCTATCTGTGGCTCTTGTGTGTGACACTGTCTACTGAAATGGCCCAACTTTACACAGTGGAAGCAATGCTTACCTCCTTTATTACATTTGGGTGGCACTGTTTATAAGTAAGACTTCCTTTTCCTGACACAAGCCCTAAACTGGCAGCAATAGCTGCCCCAAAAATTTTGGCCTTTCTCTGGTCTTTTCTCTTCTCTCTAGATCCAAGTTGTTAAAAGAAGGAAAAATTTAAACAAATATATAACAAATAATTTTGAACAATATAATATTTTAAGTTTAAGGCTAGAAATATTAACAATATGATCATTTGCATTCCAGAGATATATGTTCCACTGCAATTCCTATTTTCCATAAATGGTTTTGATAAGAAGACTATTGTAAATGTGCATACAGTTCCACTATTCCTCCTCCATGCCATGATATGGTATTATTAGGATGAGTAGTTCTAAATCCATTGCCTTAATTACTCCAACTGAATTTTTTAAATTTATATTTATTATTAATTTCAGTAAAAACTGACAGAAGCTTTGGATTTCCATTCATTCATTGTTGCACATTGGTCCCCTCCCAAGCCTCCCCCCAGAATACTACCCTCTTGGAAAAGTAACACAAAAATTCTTTCATTGTTTTACAAACCCTCCCCCAGGTCCACTCCACCATGTAGCCATTGCTCTAGACTCCTGTCATGACAGAAATACCTAATCACATATCCC